CACTCTCTTCCTCCAAACCCGGTCGCAGGAAGAGCAGATTCACAAACAGGAAAGTGATGTCCGCCTACAATGGGGGCAGAGAGAGAAAGGGAAAATTCGCTTGCTAAGTTTAAGGCGCAGGTAAACGTTTTAGGAGATATCCATTGAGAAATGGAAAAAGCAGACCGTATAACTCAAACCAGCAAAATATTAAAGTGGTTTGCACGGCTTTACAGCACGGAAGTAGTCGGCATCACAGACAGCACGGTCGGTCGATAGGGCGGCGGCAACAGTTATAGCGATAGGCCAGCGGCTAACCAAAAACTCGCTTTCAATCTAACTGCCAAGTGACCATACGAATGAGTAGCGGGTCAGCGGTCAAAAGCTAACGCGCTGAAAATCCAAATCCGTGCACACATCGCCTCTGCACATATATTTCAACACATGTTGAGCAAGCCTCAACTTCGACAACATCGAGTACTCCGCAGAACCTTCTGACTCAAGGCACTATAGACCGAGCAAAATCAATAATCTTACAAATTGTGCATAAAAAGGCGGATCAGTGATGGAGATGTCTCGGTAGTCAATACCAGCTTATGACCATCGGTGTTGCTGACAGCAAATACTTCATGCAAGTGGTCATTTTATTCCATTTAAAAAATAGCAAAGCTTTACCAATGACCCTCGGTTGAGGGTGTATTAGTGAGCAATAGTAAGTTCCAGGCCTGTAATGCAACGTATTTCTAGCCTTCTTTAAAGGACAAACTACAAACAGAGAGCACATTGCCAGAAATAATATAACGAAAAACCCACCTCCCATAAGGCACTGACTGACTGATAAGGATTGGCAGGATCCCCTTCCGAACGTGTGCCAACATCTACCTTCATTGAAGGAGTTGAGGATGATGGGTCAGCGGAGAGTGAGTAATCCGCCCATTCCATTGTGGATTCGGCGTGCTCGGCAGTCTCCGACGTGGTAGACGCCCTCTGAGCAGGATGATCCGGCAAAAGCAGGCTCCACAGACGAACAGCGTCCTCCGACACGGCAACCCTGCTAACGGGTTCAAACAAATCGCCCGGATTCGCGGCACTATCCCGACA